GTTTCAAAAACACAAAGTTTGTTTTCTCAGTCATCCAGGTATATAACGTTTCTTTTTAACAAAAAACGAAGTCCAGATGACATGATTCAACCTTTTTTTGTTGTTATATACCTGGATGACTGAGAAAACAAACTTTGTGCATGGGGAATATTGTTTTTCACACAAGGCAGCTGACGGCTCCATATAAGGTAAGAGAAATGCATGTTTGTTTGCCCTGTGCTGCACTCCACTTCTTGTTTGTGGAGCGGGGCCCGGTCTGATTGCATTCACACTGTACTTGAACCGTGCTGGAGCTTTCTTCTACCGGACCGAGACCTAGGTTTTAGCCCGGGCCAGAGTTTGCTGTTTTGTTCCATGACAGAGTTCGATGGTGCGTTCACACCTCCCAAACGAACCAGACTTCCTAGGAAAACGAGCTAGAGTTTGATTAAAGCGAACTAAACAGGGCTGGTGTGAATGCACCCTAACTGGCCACGAGGTAGTGCTCTGAAATATAAATGAAGTTCAGACAATTGTTAAAACCAAAAAAAATAAAAAAATAAAATTGGTTAAATCGTTTTCTCATGAAAGTATCGGCCGATTTCCAATTTCCCAAAATTAAGGAAATCGGGGCCGATAAATCAACCGGCCAATTTATCAGTGCACCCATAGTTACAACGGTGTTGTTCTTTCATCTCCATGAAGTACCAGAACCCAGATCTCTGTCCCCTGAAAGCCAAACTTTCACACTTAATCAGGAGATCTACAGATCCCTTAAATATTCTTTTAAACTGAAGGTTTAATTATGACTAACGGACCCAAATGAGTCAATAGGTTCTTCACAAAATGCTGTCTGTTTATTAACATGAAGGTGTCTGAGAGGTGTCCTGCTGGATCTGAGCTGGAACGCTGGTCTCTGCAGCCTCAGGGCTGGATGTTAGCGCCCACACCCTCAGGGCGAGCCTAGTCTGGACCAGATCAGCAGTGCACGTAAGACTGTGCTGAGAAGACAAAAACACAGAGAACACATGAACAGGTCAGACAGACAACAAATGTGCTGCTTTTAAATGTGTGAAGACAAAGTTCAAAATGTGCATGGGTCATTGTTTAAGGCAAGATTATGATGACTCATTTACATTAAGTGACAGAAATGAAGAAGCTTTTCAATAAAGTAAAAATAATATCTATCTTCCAATAAAATGCAATAAAAAAAATGAACAAAAACTGCAGAATCTGCAGCTATTTTTGTTTGCAGCCAGTAATGTCAGCACTTTCCTGATCTCAGTTCTCAGTAAAAGGCCCTAGATACTCCATCCAAAGCAGCAAAATCTGCTCTCATTGACATATTTGCATGACGAAAACCGCATCATCAAACACACTAAATTAGTCAAATGGTCAAAAACTCTTGGATGGAGATTGTGCAGACATCGTGTATGGTCCTCCGTGTCTGCTGAGAAGTGTAGCGCTCTCTACATGATAGATTTGTGACCTAACAGCGGCTGCAGGGACAGAGCGGAGACTCTGGTGGGAAGAAACCTGTGCGGTGACGTATACTGCAGCTGAAGGGGTTTCCCAGAAGCTCTGCATCTGTGTCTCGTGGACTCTGAAAGTGTGTGCAAAAGCAAACGTCCTGCAACCACATATGACCGCGAGTCGACTGTTCAGCTTCAGATGGAGCATGCCGAGCTGTTCAGCATTTTAGAGATATACAATAACTATTCTTGTCAAACCTTGTAAATGACATTATGCATGAGCCAACAATACAACTTTTCATTTAAAAAATAGTTATGAATATAATATGAATAGTAACTTCTATGTGAGCTAAACAATGATGTAAGTGTCTACTCATAATAATCTATGCCTGACATGTTCAGGTCAACTGACACATAGGTCGAACCTCAGATCCAGGAGGAACAATGTGGGTTCTGTCCTAGCCGTGGAACACTGGACCAGCTCTTTACCCTCACTACGGGGGTCATGGGAGTTTGCCCATCCAGTCTAGATGTGTTTTGTGGACTTGGGAGAAGGCGTTTGACTGTGTTCCTCGAGGTACACTGTGGGGAATGCTCTGTTAGTTGGATTGGAGGCCTGTTAGAGGTTGTTCAGTCCCTATACAAGTGGTGCACGAGTTTGGTTCGCATTGCCAGCAGTAAGTCGAACCCCTTCAGGGTGGGAGTTGGACTCCGCCAGGGCTACTTGTTGTCACTAATTCTGTTCATAACTTTTGGACAGAATTTTGGCAGTTGAAATGAGTTTCCTCTGCAGGATAGCTGGACTATCCCTTAGAGATAAGGTGAGAAGTTCCGTTATCAGGAGAGACTCAGAGTAGAACTGCTACTCCTCCACATCGAGAGGAGCCAGTTGAGGTGTTTCAGGCATCTGGTAAGGATGCTTCCTGGTTACCTTCCCTAGGAGGTGCTTCGGGCATGTCCAACTGGGAGGAGAACCCGGGGAAGACCCAAGACACGGTGGAGAGACTATGTCTCTCAGTTGGCCTGGGAACACCTTGGAGTCCTCACAGAAGAGCTAAAAGAGGTGGCTGTTGAAAGAGATGTCTGGGCCTCCCTGTTCAAGCTGCTGCCCCATGACCTGACTTCAGAACAAGCGGAAGATGGACGTGTTCAGTCTTCTAAACTTTACATTCTTTATGAATTCTGCCGTTTTAGGATGAGCTGACATATCTTGGAGTAACTTACATCTCCCATCTCTGTCCACCTGCACAGTTTGCTCAAATAGGAAAACAGAAATAGGCAACTTCAAAATAAGATTGTGCTTGGTGTATGCATTGGGGATGGCACTCGCCTACTATCACAGTAAATACCTGTATTAGTTCAGTCTCTCAAAAGTGGCTGAGATAATTTTCTCTTATTGCTAAGGTCAGGTAGCTGTAGCAACATCTTGAATTGTGTTGACTCAAAAAGTTCAAACAAGTTTAGATGTGCATCAAATGAGTATCATCCACTGTCATAAGTCCATGGGTTCATGGAAATAATTTGTGAACAGATCGACAGAAAAATGAACACCAACAAAAGCATTGTTAATTTGTCTCTGATGGTGAGAGATAATCCCAGCAGACACCTGTAAAATGTGCAGTCCCTTCAGTGTGAGGACAGCCAGCTCTCTCAAACCATCCCCAGTCAGGTCCAAGTAGATGATGGACAGCAAAGGACTCTTGAAGCTTTGCCTCCACTGCAGCTGAAACTCTCCATCTTTTTCACAACCTGATGGCTGGAACTTGTAACAAAGAAGTTCCTGCATGATAAGAGAGGTAGGCTTATTCCCCCACATCTCAGTCTTAATCAGAAATCTGAAGGTGACAGGAAGTAAACAGCCTTTGTGCTGAACCTTATCTGCATTGAGGTTCTTTCAATACCTGTCCATACGTTCCTAACAACACCTTCTTTTGTCCATTGAAGTCCAGGTCGATGACCAGTGCACACAAAACAGCATCTGACTGATCGCTGTCTGAGAGACATGTAGACCAGGACAAGCCACGGTTCTGGATATCTCTGAGCAAATACACACAGGTAACACCAGATTAGCTCCGCCCTCTCAGGTAAATGAACAGGTTTTAATGGAAACCTTTCTGATTCTGTGCAACACAACCTGTAGACAACTGCCATCTCAACAGTGCTGGTGATCAGGAGGTTGTAGCCCTCCATATCCTCACCTAGAACAGAGAAAAGACCGACAATCATCACAGATCAAACAAGAATGGTAAATGGACTGTATTTATATAGCGCCTTTCTATCTGATCAAGATACTCAAAGCACTTTACACTACAATTTGTGTCCTCATTTACCCATTCATACAGCACTATAATATATCTCTAGAAAAGCTAATTGAACAAATCATTCTAAAGAGACTAATCAGTACTTTATCACATTCATACACTGATGGAGCACACATCGGAGGCAATGAGGGTTCAATGTCTTGCCCAGGGACACATGGCATGTGACTGCTGGTGGATTCGAACCACCAACTCTTGCAATGGAGGACGACTGCTCTAACCACTCAGCCACAGCCGCCCTAAAGAAGCAAACTTCAACAGAAGGATGACATACTTCTTTCTCCACTGGGCTCAGTGGGTTTGCAGCTCAGTCGGAACAGCAGCACCGTGGAGATCGGACTGTCAAACTGAACCCGCCAGCTCTGTAGAACCTCTGCTAAATCAAACAACAAAGAACATGTAAATACACCAACTTTATGTCCAGTTATAGCAGAGATCATAATGTTTCACACCGAGTAGAATGACTATATATTATGCATAAATATCAGATCATAAAATCAATCCCTGACATTTAGGAGTGAAAACATGATGCCAGCTTGGGATCCTTGATGAACATTTTGGACATGTTGAAATAGAGAAAAAGGATATAAACAATATCATGACTGTTGAATGCTCTCAGTTTGGAGAAATGGAGTTTTAGTTCACATGATGCGAACGCAAGATCGCTCTGCCCACATGGGAATGTACCCCAGGGTGAGCTAACCTCCAACAAACAAACAAGATGGCTGTAATGGTGGAGGTAGCAAACGTTACCTGAGGCATTTCTGCCTTATCAGCCAAAGAAGACATGAAAAAAAAAATATCTAAGCTACTAATAACTTCAAATAGTTACTGCAGTGGATGCTTTCATACCACAGAGGATGACATTTTTTCCGGAGTACTGCCAGTCACGTGAATCCGGACGGATTCCGGCAGGACCGGAGTCAACTTTATTATAACTCCCGTTATCGGGACCGGACAGGACAAAAACTTAAACGGGAGCAGACAGGAGCAGGAACCAACATAGGACAAAAAAAAAATAGGCAAAAAAAAATTAAAAATCAGGCGGCGGTGCCTACAGCTTCCGGTGCCTGTTCCAGCCGCTACTTCCGGCCACCTTTTCCAACCTCTTTGTCTACTGTATCAACCAACAACATGGAGGGAGCAAACGCCAGCAGAGAAACCGAGTGTAAAAATTATTTTGCAACGCAAAGTTAGGAATAATGACACATCTGTTAGGTTAACAGAACTGTCAGGGAAGGCGCTTATAGTTCAGAACTTTATGAGAGCCGAGTGTGACAGTGTTAAGATGCTCTACGCTGCTTGCAAAATATGTTCAGTTATAATAAAGTATGTCACTGACTTGGGGACGAGCAGTCTGAAGAGGCACACTTGCAAGGCTGATTCCGGCACAAATCAGCCAAGCATTTCTTCATTCATAAACCGAAAGGTACCGTCGGGAGTCAAGTCTCGTATGACCAACAAAATAGCCCGCATGTGCGGCGTAGATTTGAGACCATTTGTTGTAGTAGATGGGAAAGGTTTCATCAACGTTATACAGGAGGCGATCGACATCGGAACAAAGTATGGAAACAACGCTGAGGCACAAGACATACTGCCATATGGACGCACGGTCTTCTGTCATGCTCAAGGAGAATATGATAAAATTTAAAAAATGGCCATGGAAGAGCTCCATCAGGTACGTCTATCACGCTGCACTATTTTATAATACAGTACAAACATTTTACCTTGACATCATGCAGTAGTCTATAATTATAGATTTCCTAACACTAAATCTGTTTTTTCTCCTCCTTTTAAACTGCCTAATCTCTCAACTATAAATTTGTCATCTGTTTTACATGTAATATACTTTGAGAGCTAATAACAATATACGTAATTCCTTTGGTGCAGACTAGAGACCATGCAATCACGACAGACCTTTGGACAGAGGAGAGGACAAACACACACTACATCACTGTTGCAGTCCATTATATCTTGGATGGGAAGATGGTGAACCATATTCTGGCCACAATGGAGAAAAGGGAGATGGAGGGTGTCAAATCCAATGAACACATCAGAGGGACTGTGGAGAAAATCCTTCAGGTATCTCACACACAAATGAGATAATTATCTTTATTTACATGGCATATGCAATAAATATTGCCAATTAATTCATAAAATTGGGAAAAGTATGAGAACATGGTGCAGCAATAACAAGAACATGTCACAGAAGGAACAATACAAAAGACAAATATATTTATTTTTCATTCAACCTTTACAGGCTAACCTCATTGAGTCACGAGGACTCATTTACAAGAGACCTGTTCCAATCCAGACAGATAGAACATATAAAGTACAGACAACAATAACAGTGAACAATAATAACAATAAACTACAGTAAAAATGCAGTTAAAATAAAAGTAGTGTATAAAACAATAAATCAGGGTGCCATAAAAAAGGTAAAATACTAAAAACAAGAATATATTTGCTCCTGCTCCCGGCTTAAGAGGAGAGGATGCCGGGCGGGGGTTATGGTGAGGCTACGAGCTAACGCTAAAGCCGGTAAACTCCCCATGCCGTCTCTCTTTCTGTCGAACGTCCGCTCGTTGGACAACAAGATGGATTTACTTCGTCTGAGAGCGGGCGCCTCAGAAGAGATGAAGAAGTGTGCAGTGCTTTGCCTCACGGAAACGTGGATTACAAGCGAAACGCCGGACACAGTCTTCCAGCTGGATGACAGACTTTTTTTTTCGAGTGGACCGCTGCAGCGAGCTAACGGGGAAATCACGGGGAGGCGGAGTGTGCATTTACGTGAGTAAAAGTTGGTGCACGAACTGTACTGTTGTAAATAGCTCATGCTCGAAGGCTTTGGAGCAAATAACAGTGAAATGTCTGCCACATTATCTACCCCGAGAGTTCACTGTGACTTTCATCTCTGTCGTTTACATTCCTCCGGACGCTAATGCTAATGAATCACTGCAGGAGCTACATGATATCATCAGCTCGCTGCAGAACAAACACCCTGAGGCTCTTTATGTGGTAGCCGGAGACTTTAACCACGTGAATCTAAAGGACTGTCTCCCAAGCTTTAATCAGCATGTGACGATTCCGACACGTGGAGACCGCACGCTGGACCGTGTTTACACGAACGTAAAAGATGCATACAAAGCCGAACCCCGCCCCCACCTAGGACTGTCAGACCACATCTCAATCTTCCTGGCTCCTGCTTACATGCCCCCGCTGAGATGCTCCAGACCGGTCCAAAAGGAAGTTAAATGCTGGATCCAGGACAGTGGCCCCATACTGAGAGATTGTTTTGATCGAACAGACTGGCAGGTTTTCAGAGAAGCTGCTGAAAATGGAGGTTCACTTGATCTTGACCAATACACATCCTCCGTTCTGGGTTACATTAGTACATGTACTGACACCGTCTCCACTATCAGAAATGTTAAAAGCTACCCAAACAGAAAACCTTGGCTGAATGCAGAGGTGCGTACCCTGCTGGAAGCCAGGAACACTGCCTTCAGGTCTGGAA